TTCCAAGCATGATGTTCTCCAAGGACTAGTCCCTATATCCCAAGGAAATTAGAACTGAAACACAAAAGGAGATTTATACACCAATGTACATAGCCATGTTATTCACCATTGCAAGAACATGGAAACAGCCCAAATGTCCAACCATAATCAAATGGGTTGAGAAATTGTGGTACATTCACATGATAGAATACTACACAGCACTCAGGAGTAATGATTTTGAAAATTACTACATAACTTGGGAAAGACAGGAGGGCATTACGATGAGTGAACTAACTCAGTCTCATAAGGATAAATACTGCATAGAACCAATATTGTAAAAACAGAAGAATAACTAATAAAAAGTATAAGAGACCCAAAGGGAGAAGGTGTGTGAACAAAGGGATGAGGGTGGGCAGGAGGAAATCATAGGGTAGCACAGTTTGGTGGGTAGAGAGAGGGAAAGTAAAGGAAATGAGGAAGATCCAGCAGGGATCTAGAAAGACAAGTTTATGATATGTGTGGTTTAATGGTGACTGATTTTATCAGACATAATGAATAAGAATTATTGTATGAAACAGTGTGAATGAAGAATAGTGTGAAACACAATGTATACAAACTTTGTATGCAAACTAATGTAAAATTTTAAAAAACACATAAAAAATTATTCTTCTGTCAACCTTATTTCTTGTCTGGCTCTCAGATTCATAGCAAGTGTTTGGAAAAATCACGGGTTGAATCAAATGCATTTTAGTCTTTAAATTGACATGCATTGCTCTGCAGGACATTAAAGAGGTCCCTGACAGCAGACTTGCCCAATGCAATGCATATCCTGATCTCCTGACTGCTGGTACCAAAGGTGTTGATTGTGAATCCAAGTAAGATGAAATTGTTGACAACTTCCATCTTTTCTCCATCTATCATGATGTTACAGTATTGAGAATACCATGGACTGCTAGGAAAAAAAACAGATTTGTCCTGGAGAGGGTTAAACCGGGTGGCTCCTTGGAGGCAAGGATTCTGAGGCTCCGTCTAACATACTTTGGACATGTTGTGAGGAGAGACCAGTCCTTGGAGAAGGACATCATGCTTGGGAGGGTGGAGGGACGGCGCAGGAGAGGAAGGCCCTCTATGAGGTGGATTGATTCAGTGACTGGGATAATTGGGATGGGAGTGTCAGAGACAGTGCGATTGGCACAGGACAGAGTGGAGTTTAGGGCTGTTGTACATAGGGTTGCTATGAGTCGCAGGCGACTTGACGGCACATAACAACAACAACAACATCATGATGTTGCTTATTAGCCCAGTGCTGAGGATTTTTGTTTTCTTGATGTTGAGATATAATCTATATTGAAGGCTGTAGTTCTTGATCTTCTTCAGTAAGCGCCTCAAGTCTTCCTCATTTTCAATAAACAAGTTGTGTCATCTGCATAACATGGGTTATTGATGAGTCTTCCTCCAATCCTGATTCCACATTCTTCTTCAGAGTATTCAGATTCTCATATTATTTGCTCAGCCAGCATACAGATTGAACAAATATGAAGAAATTATACAGATAATAGCACACACCTTTCTTGATCTTAAACCATTCAGTGTTCCCTTGCTCTGTTCAGACTACAGCTTATTGGCCTAGGTATAGATTTCATATAAGCATAATTGTCAGAAAACACAGATTAACTATAGAAAAATACTAAGTGTTGGGGGGGGCGAGCTAAAGGATAAAAATTCTTTGAGAGGAAAAGGAGAAATCACCTGGCCACAGAACATTCTCTCTTGTGAAAGAAATTAGGAAAAAAAATTACTTTTTCTTAAATTTTTATTACATACCATTTCGGGAATGAGATACTGTCTGGTGAGTAAACCTCATTAAAAGATAAGTAGAAACTCTTTCCCGATGAGGTTTCTCTACTGTGCCTACAATATGTGTAACTATGTCTGTCCAATATGAGTATGTATAATTCTAGGGACTATGTGAAGAAGAAATTTCATGTTTCCTGGCTTTTCTAGCATTTCTCTTTAACCAACTGTATGAACCTCATTGAACTACATAGCTCCCTAAGGTCGAAAGTCTGATCCTCAATTAGCTGATTTTCTCAACCATAGGAAAGAAATGTAACTCCTATTGAATAGAATTTTGTCATGTTAATTTGTTGTATCAAAACCTCAGTCTCAAACACACACACACACACACACACACCTCAAGCTCCTTTTGGACTTCCGTTGACTTTTTTTATTTAAAAAAAATTATTTTATTATTTCTTGTATGTACCATCAAATCAGATCTGACTGGTACAGAAGTAGATTACCCCTCCTTCTCCAGCAAAGCATCTGGTGGATTCCAACTACATATCTTTGGGATTGCAGTGCAGCTTCTTGCCACCAGGCTACCAGAGCTCCCTTCCATTGACTTTTATAAAAAGTTATTGAGTTGCCTCCTTGCAACATGTCCAAAATATGTCAGATAACACTTCAGAATCTTTGCCTTCAAGGAACAGCCTAGTTTCACCCTCTCTAAGGTGAATCTGTTCTTTCTCTTAGCAGTCCATGGTATATTCAATTCTCCTCTCCAGCACTGAAGCTCAAAGTCATCAATTCTCCTTCTATCCTCCCTAATCATTGTCCAGCTCTCTGATGCATAGCAAGTGATTGCAAAGACAATGGCTTGTATCAGGCGCACTTTAGTCTCCAGGCTCACATTGTTGCTCTTCAGTACTTTGGAGAGGTCTCTGACAGCAGACTTTCCCAACACAATATATTTTTTAATTTCCTGTCTGCTAGTGCCAAGAGTTGCAAGAAGGGACCAATCCATGGAGAGGGATGTCATGCTTGGGAAGGTGGAGGGGCAGTGCAGGAGAGGATAACCCGCAATGAGATGATTGATTCAGTGACTGGGGTAATCGGGATGGGTGTATCAGAGACAATAAGATCGGCACAGAATAGAGCAGTGTTTAGAGGTGTTGTCCATAGGGTCGCTATGAGTTGCAGGCAACTCAATGGCACATCACAACAACAACAACAACTTGCAGGCAACTCAATGGCACATCACAACAACAATAACAACTTGGAGTTATTTAGTGGAAATATTTTACACAATTTATCATTTGTTTCATTTTCTTTTTTTCTTCTACTGCATTGTATGTTACTCTCATAACATAAAATAGTTTTGATTCCAGATGTGGGTCGTTGTGAATCAGACTGCATCTAAGCTTCAAAAATATGAATAATATATTTAAATCCAGAGACTCTGATTAAAATGAAACCTATAATAAGTACAAGTTTACCCACAATTCATTTTAAATTTTTTTTCCATCTCATTTTGAAAATGGGAAAACTATATGGATTTGGCTGCTAACCAAAAGTTCAGTGGTTTGAACCATCATTTCTATGTGGGAGAAAGAAGTGGCAAATCAGATTTACAGCCTTATATACCATATAGGGGCAATTGTAAAAGTGCAGATAATCAATGTCTGACAAGGAGTAAGGATGAAAGAAGTAACAACTCAAGGAAATGTAGCTCAATAGTAATATTTTATATGAAGTAGTGAGATGATACCATAAGTCACTTAGTAAATGAGATGGTTTCCAACTCTGCCTTCAGGCTGGGCAACTGAAAAAACAAACAAAACAAAAACCTGGATCGGGAATCATAAGTACAAGTTTATGGTTTAAGTTACCTACCTCAGATTTTAACGAAAGACAATATTTTACTTGTAGGATTGTATGTTACTTGTTTCTACTGAGGAATTTCCTCAGACTCCAAAAGTGGCAATACTTTTCATAAACTTTCCAGGCAAATGCTAAGATAATTCAACAACAACAAAAAAGGGGGGGGGACATATAGTTGAGTAGAGAGTCTAGGAAACTCTTGAGAAGGACAACAAAGTTCCGTGGCTAGTTAAAATAGACAATGTTAGCTGCTTTTACACTACACACAAATTAAAGGTTAAGATTATTAATGTAAATTATATGTAAGATGCTTGTATATATAAGTAATGTTTGTTGTTGTTGTTGTTATCTATTGTCAAGTAGGAACTGACTCATAGCTGCCCCTCCAGTGGGTTTTCAGAGGCAGTAAATCATACAAGAGGAGATTGCCCATCCCTTTCCATATAGAAGCTGGTGGATTCAAATATTGTAACACAACTTCTTACCACCTGGTCACCAGAGCTCCCTGTAAGCAATGTAGTCTTCATTTATCTACTATGACTATGATATTGGGAAACAGCAAAACTAAATAATGTAGACTGTATTATAACTACTTAAAAATGAGATTAATCATTAGGTAAAAAGTCAAAGAACTGAGGCAAAAACTGAACATGGAACATAACAAACGGACTGGTTTAACCATTTTGTGACCTTTGAGCTCACCTCTATCTTCTACTTCTTGGGTTTGTGGGAAGCTACTCAGGGTGGGCCAGTCCTTAAAGAAGGACGTCATGTTTGGAAGGGAAGAAAGTCACTGCAAGAGAGGAAGACCCTGGATGAGATGGACTGATACAGTGACTGTGGCAATATGGTTATGTGTAGTAGAGATGGTGAAGTTGGCTCAGGATAGAGCAGGGTTCAAAGCTGTTGTTCATAGGCTCACTATGAGGTTTAGTCAATTTGACAACACATAACAGCCACTGTCCCACTTTTAGCATGTGCTGCTATCTAGTGGCGACCTACATAACTTCAGGAATCTGAAGTAAGATGCCTCACTCCATGACCCCAGCACCAGAAATTTCTTGGGACATATGTGCCCCACTAATAGATCAAAACTCAGATTACCTCGAATTTTTTTTCATAGCATTCCAATGCCTTACATTACCGAAAATGTATATATTCAACAAAACTGCAAAGCAGAATATAATTTGGTCTTAAAATAGTTAACTAATATTCATGCCTCAGGATATCTGACACAGGTTACCTATGCAAAAAGATATTCCCTCTTTCTAGGGCCTTCCCATCCTCCCATCCATACACAATGTTGTTTTTCTTTTTCTTTCTCCCCCACCCTCCCCCACTTTCTTTCTCTTTCTTGATCACGGGCCATTGGTTCTCTGCAAATCCAGATCTTCACAGGGAGGGAGGCGGAAATAGTTGGAGCGGCGGAGTCGTCTTGGGGGCAGGCCAGCCATCTGTCGGCAAAGCTCATCTAGGAGAAGAGCAAAGCATGATGGGATAAGAATGCGGGAAAATTCCAGGAGCTTAAATTTTAAGGGAAGGAGAAGACTGCAGTGTGAATGCAGAGAGGCAAATTTGGATTAAAACATAAACTCTGCCACTTACTAGACAGTTTCTTAGCTTTCCTGAAACTCACGATCTCATACTGTAAAATAAACATTAAAATACCTGCCTCAAAAAAAAAAATACCTGCTTCAACAGAAATAACTTGCCTCCAGAAACCCTATGAATCTGGAGAAATTATGAAAGTTATACAAGTGTTCAGGTCTTTCTTTCATAGGGTTGCTATGAGTTGCCTACGACTCGATGGCACTTTACAATGAGAGAGCTCAGTGGGTCTAGTGGACTGAAAGTGATGCTACTAAGCCAAAGGTGGGTGATTTTAATCTGTGAACCTCAGGCCTGGTTTTAATTGGTTTTGGTCAAACATTCTTCTAAGTGGTATAGGACTAGTCTGTTCATTTGCTGTACAGAGGTAATTCATGTTTACTGTAATTCTGAACACTGTGACACTGATATGTCAAATGCAATAATGGTTACCCATGGTGGACAGTGTTTGGTGGAGCTCCCCTATTAAAACAAGTTTGGAAACAGGAGTGGCATCCAATTCCAAAATAGCTTGCCTCCGGAAACCCTATGAACTTGGAAAAACGATGGAAGTTAGTTATACAAGTGTTCAGGTCTTTCGTTCATAGGATTGCTATGAGTCGTCTACAACTCAACAGCACTTAACAAAAACAACAACGATGTAACAAGTGTGGACATAAAGTTAACAAAGACATATTTAAAGTATAGTAGTTGGTTAGTGAATGTTAATTTCCCTTATGCACTAGCTCCCAATTCTTCAAATCATGGCCATGTTAAAAAAAAATGAGATCAAATCATTTAATGTGCATATAAGAACATTATGTGCAAATCACTAACTTAAGCAAGTCCTTTGTGACATGTCCATTGTTTATTACTTCCATGGATATTGATTGTGGGTACAAATTAAATTTTTAAAATATTATTTACTATGATGCTGATTATTGGTCTAGTTGTGAAAGTGCTTTGAATTCTCAATCTCAAGGGTTCTTTGCAGGTGGCTTGCTGAGAGCCAAAAGGGAAAGCAGTAAGTTTCCTTCTGCGAAGTTAACTACTGTTTTTACTCAGGGGCTCGGTGCAAAATGGACTACTGAGTCAGAAGTGACTATGTCTGTGGTGCTTTCACTAACCACAGTCATCAGTAAGGGTTGGCTATGGGAAAGGTGAGAAGTATCCCACCAAGCATGGTCTATAACCACACGCTTGGGGCTCATATAATTATTCTAATAGTCTTCTCTTCTACCTCTGACATTTCACAACAAACACTATACATGGTTCCTGAAACTGAACTATGTGTATAGTGTAGCTAGTTTCTAAATGTCCAATCCGCTTTTTATCTCCAAGCCCTATACAAACTGTACTCCCAAAGCAGTGTTTGCTTGCTTTTCTTTTTCTGAATTATAAACATGGTTGATGAGTAGGAATCAACCCTGGATATCAATGGGGTGACAGATGCTGCAGTCAGATCACCCTCACATCTCGATGAATAGGAAAATCTGTTTGACAGTATTAGCTGGCTTGGCCTTTTCACCTAGAACCCTAGTGGATGCTCTTCAAAGTAGCCCCAACTCTAGAAAGTTGTAGTTAGATACAGGAAAGGCTTGGAGTAACAACCAAGTTAGAAAATGATCTAGGATATTTGTAGGTTATGTTTGTATTTTGAGTATACTGTTTCCTCAGATTGCTGATTTGGAGTAACACAATTAGAGAGCTAAGAAATAAAGAGCTGGTGGAGTAGCTAAGGAGTAGACCAAACCACTTTTTGTTTGCCCCAGCTTCAAAGCAGTAGATCGTTAGCAGGGTCATAGCCCTTTCTCTCTTTCTTTCTTTCTTTCTTTCTTTCTTTCTTTCTTTCTTTCTTTCTTTCTTTCTTTCTCTCTCTCTTCCTTCCTTCCTTCCTTCCTTCCTTCCATCCTTCCTTCCTTCCTTCCTTCCTTCCTTCCTTCCTTTCTCTCTCTCTCTCTCTCTCTCTCTCT